GAACAGTAAAGCAGGTGAAAAATTTTCTACATCTGATTCTGACACCAAGCAGCAGAGGATCCAATCTCTTTAAGCCTCAGTTCCCATATCAGTGAAATGAGTTAGAAAATTACAGATCTAATTATAAATTCTAATGAGATTACTTTTCAATTTAGTGAAAGCAGAAAACTGAAAACGAAGGGGTCTCTGAAGGATAGCAAATAACCTGATAAATAAAGCACTTCAGAGGAGACAACATACAACATGCCAAATCACTCACACCAACACAGCAGGGACAGTCTCCTGAAGTAATGACCAAAATTTTAAAAATTACATGTTTGCACCTTCTTTAAATAACAGTCAAGTAACGGTTATAACTAAAACCACCTGCATATATAAAAACATAGAAAAAGAACTGCAGGATATATACTACACTGAAAAGATTAAATACCGCTCAGAAGAGGTGAGGGTTAACCAGAGAGTACTTTACAGCCTTACCTATGTTTCCATCACTTATTAAAAAAAAACTTGTAAGTTCTTATGATTATTTATAAGGAGAATAATCATATATTACTGTATAATTAAATAGTATTCATATAATACCTATATAATTTTTAAAGTCCTGAACAGGAATGAAGGGCAGTTTCTGGCTTATAACATATGATTGTACACCTCCCTTCTATAGAAGGGACCTGAAGACCCCCTTCCCCTTCTAGTTACCACCATTTACCACACATCTCTGCTTTACTTCCTCCCCTTCCACAGTGATGCTAACCTGCCATCGTTACAGAGTTCTCATTCCAGCCCGAGGGTCAAACTAAGTCTGGGATTTGGGGGATAGATCTGATGGTGACAAAGGGGGAGGAGAACAAAAAAGGAAACAAAGTCCACAATGTACCACCACGGCTACTCTGACAGGCCTTGACTCACAGGCAATATTTCAAGTTTCAAACAGCCAGTATATATTTCAAAGTGTATATGGAAGTTGGCGTTTCTTGAAGATTCAGCGGGACACTTACACGCAGGAAGCCCTTTCCCCCTCTGGCCAGGCTGTCGCCAAAATCTTTAGGTTGTCGACCCATCTCTTCTCTTCTTTTTTGCTGATATTCTTTATCCATTGTAATTGCTGCCAAACCTTTTCCAACAGAACCGGTGATTCGAGATACAACTCCTGCTGCACCACCTATCAAAAGGCCCAGAGAAGTCAGTCACATTGCTTCTTTAAAGAGCATTACCACAATACACACATGCAGTTGCTTGAACTAACAGGTCCTTACAATTCTGTCTCATATACAAAAACGCACAAATTTATTTTTCCCATTTTCTGCTTTGCAAGAAGAGGAATAAAACTATTTAAAGCACAATGATTCAACACTACAAAGACATTAAAAAAAAAACCCAGCAGGTCAGTGTCAAATTATTTTACACTTAAGAACAAGGGAACACATCTTTTAAAGGGATTGTTAGAAAAATGATCCCTTGTTTGTTGAACATAATCATTGGTTTTTCATAAACAATGCATTTTATAGTAACTGTAATGAAAAAAATATATACACAGACAAATACATGTACGTACCTACTGTATGTCCAAAGAGACTTCTTACTCCAATTACTAATCCCTCAGCAAATTCTTCAGGGCCTTGAACAGCACCCTGGCCAAAATAAATAAGTAAATAAAATTAAAGTTTGCTACTTAAAATTTAAAGAAATTTGAAGACTTTCAATCTAGTATTTCAGAGTTTCCATGAAGATACAGAATCTGTAAGAATCCATAAACTTTGTGGTGGCACAGTTTTCACTCTCTAGATCCCAAAACTGATGGGGCACCTACTGTGTATGAAGATACTTACAACCCACATGATCTCAGCAAACCCTCAAGATGACAGAGTCGGAGAGGAGGAAACCATGGCTGCAAGCACAGTCTGAAGGTGGCCTCCTGTGCCGAGTTCCATGAGACTGCTGAAGCAAGCCACACTGACAACAGGCCCGAGAGCCCGCACAGGTTTGGCTTTCCTGTCCTCCCACTTACTCTCTTCGCTTTGTCCTTTTAAAACCCTCACGACGCTGGGCCCCTGGATCCTTTAAGCGGCGGTGAACAGGCTAGAGGAAAGCTTGACTATGAAACAAAGTCAGCTTTTAATGCCCCACTAAAGTGCCTGTCCACAGTGATGAAACAGCCTGGAAATGGCCTCAGCCTCCCTAGCACTCTTCCTTATCACTGCATGGAATCCTACAAAACACGGGCCTGCGTTAGCACCCAAACACTAGGCGTGCTCAGTTAACTCTAAAACAATCTTCTAATGTCATCTCAAGTAATTTTAAATAAAAATAAAAAATTAATATATTCAGTATTTGAACATTATTGAGTTCCCAGATACGATTAAAACACAAATATTTTGTCATGAAAAAATAGAACGTCCATGTTTCTATACTATACTTAAAATAAATAAAAGATCAATACCTGGAAGGGTTCATAGAATAAAGCTTCAAATCCTTCAGACAGACCTCTAATCAATCCAAATGGGGTTTCCAAGCACATCTAAGCCCAATACAAGGACATACATCTGTTTCAAGAACTACAAGGGAAAAAAAAACGAAGTCCTTTGCAACTGTTGCAAGAAACAACATCATGATGCAATAAGAAAAAAATGTAATGCTGACTAAATTAGGTTGTTAAAGGAAACCTATGCAGAATAACCACCATTATGATCATCAAGTGATCTTCTGCTATATGCCAGGCATTATGCTAGTACTTTACATGGGCCTTTCAAACTGGACAGAACTAGATTTGAGACAAAGTCTGCCATGTAGCAGTCATGTAACCTCAGACAAGTCACTGAGTCCACAGGCCTCGATCTTCTTATCTGTAAAATGGGAGGTCTATTATATTTTCCTTGCATGGCTGAGTATGCATATTAAATGAATACATATTTCAAAGATCATTACTTATTATTGTTACTTATTATCACTATTGCCATGAAGCTAGGTGTCTAATAATTAATAACCAAAACAAAAACCAAATGAAAATACATCCTTATCTGAACATGTAAAACACGGGTTGTCTATATACACACCATAAGAGAAAGGACCTTCCAGCAGAGGAAGGAAAGGGGACTGTCACCCTGGAGTTCCACAGTATAGCAATGGTACCCTGGTGCCCCAAAACAACCACTCCTCTGTGCATAGAACTCGAACCATGAAGTAACAGGAACAGGGGAGAACCTGGCTTCCTCTCAATTCTACTAGACTATGCTTACAAACTGTAGTCACCGAAGGAATAAAATGTCATGACTCCTAAATCACTATTTTTTTCCCAAAGAGGTGGAAGTATATTTGCAAAGGGAAGAAACACTAAAGGAAACTTTTAAAAAGGTTTATAAAGGGGGGAAAGAACTAAAGAAATAGGGATTAATCATTCAAGAAAAACTACTAAGTAATAAGATTGAGAACTGCAGTAAATTAGGTAAATATCACACACTTTGCAATCACATTCAAATGTTTTGCTTTGATATTTCATGAAGGATATTCCTCATGAGTTAACTATGATAGGAAATTACCTGTTCGCTGTAATGTCTAACAACGCTCCATATCAGCTGATCTCTGTTGTAAAACTGACAGCGAATTTCATAATAAGCAAGTCTGGAGGAGAAAGAGTCAAAGGAACTAAGATCAGTTTTTGAAAAAAAAAAGAGAGACAAAATTTCAATGATAATCATTGCTAATTCACAATTAGGTTTGTACATCTGTCACATATAATTTACACTTGAGATCTTAAATATTAGGATAACAAAACTATTGTAAAAATAGTGCATTCTCATGCAAGTCTTTCATAAATACATAAAGAGTAAAAAGGTTTACAAAAGTTGACCATAATCCCACCACAAAGTAGATTTTTAAGTTTTTTTCTTCTTCTTTTTCTCCACTTTGAATTCTTTCTTTTCTGTGCAATTGAAAACTATTAAAACACTTTGTATGCATTTTTATACTCAACACCGTGGATAAGTATTCCTCTAAGTCTTCAAAATTCTATGTTGCCATTTTTAACAGATGCATAGCATTCCATCATGTGGAAGTGTCATGACAAACAATTCTTCCACGGTCAGTCATTTCTAAATTTTGACATAATAATCGAATGTTGCCATGTGTATCCTGAATATAATTTTGGTTGTATTTCAAGATTGATTTTTGGTCTTAGTTCCCCCCAAAATTAATGGATGAAAGACAAGAAAAACATTTAAGGCTCTTGACATAGATCCCCTTTCTACTAACACAAATAGAAAAAAAAAAAAAGCCTGTTCTTAGCTCCACTTCCTCTAGTACTAGAGTTCTCATATTTTGAAATCTGTGATAATTTGTTTCAATTTACATATATCCTTTGATAAATAATAAAGCTAAACATATCTCATATCTATTTTTGTGAGTAATCTCATACTGTCCCCTGGCAATTATGACACTGGAATTTTTAGGTTAAAAATTAAGACTATCAATCTTTTGTTATACTTGTCATTATATAGTTCTGGTTCTTTGTTTTTAAATTGTTTCCACTGATTTTGTTGTGTCTAATCTTTATGTAGTCAAATCAATTTTGTGTTTTCCATTGGATTTTTTCCATTGCTTTCAAACTTAGAAAGACTTCCTTTATTCAGAGATTTGATAGCAATTAACTTCTCTTTTCCTTGGTCTTTGTCTTTCTATTTGAATTTTATGTTTAAGGCTTCAATTCCTCTGAAATTTGATGTGTCACAGGTGAGGTGAAAATGATATAAATGAATTTTTTTTCTCCAAGGTAACTACTTATCTCTACACCAGTGCTGAATATTCAATAAACAGTCACTGAATTTATATGTGTCTGACACATAAATATTCTTATATTAGATGGAGCAAGGAGTTTGCCATATGATTATCTGAAATCTCACCCTATTGCTATATATTTCTAAATATAATTCTGTTTAAAACATGGTCAACTTATAATATACAACTGAAAAGTTCAATAATACTCTACATTCATGTATTACCTAGGTATGGGCAACTGAAGAAAATATTAGAGTCTTCACCTTATCTTTATGAGTAAAATAAGTGTACCTAAAGAGCAAATTAGAAAGGCACCCATCTTTTCAAGTATCAGTGGTAAGAATTACCATTTTTCTAAGCTAACATTCTGGCCCAAATGGAGAGAGCGAGTACCCAGAAACACCGCCCTGGCATGGAACCCTCCCACGCCCTGCGGCGTGGCTCTTACTTGAATATGAGGTCGTCCACATCAGTCAGAGTAGCACCGATACTTTTCAACAGCAGATTGACAGAATAAATTGGAATGATTTCCTGTTTTTCTTTGT